AGGGTCATGTGTGTGGGGACAGTTTGGGGACAGGGATGGGGACACGGGCAGATACGGCATGAGCATGGGGATGGCATGGGTGTGAGGACAGGGATGGGGACAGGGGTGACACAGGGATGGGGACAGAGACAGGGATGGGATGGGTGGTGCTGCAGCGTCTGTCTGTCCCCATGCACCCGTGTGTCCCCATGGGCCTGTCATGCTGCGTCTGTCCCCGTCTGTCCCCATGGCTCCGTGTGTCCCCATGGTCCATCTGTCCCCACGCGCTCTGCTGTCCCCATAGATCCATGTGTCCTCATCGCTCCACATGTCCCCACATCTCCTGCTGCTTCCCCATCCATCCCTCTGTTGCTGGATCCGGATGTCTCCCATCTGTCCCAGTCTGTCTCCATGAACCTGGCTGTCTCCAGTCTGTCCCCATTCGTCCGTCCCCATGTGTCCATCTGTACCTGTACCCATCCGTGTCCATCTGGCCCCGCGTCCCCGCTGGGCCCTGCAGATGAGTTCTGTGGTGCCGGGTTGGTGGTGACCTGACTCCTCTTTGCTCCCACAGAGCTTGCCCAGACCCTGCCACCCCGTGGGGGGTCCCCAGTGTCACCAGTGGCATCACCACCCGCCCATGGGTCACCGCCACCCCCGAGGTCCCCGGTGCCACCAGCATCCCCAGGCTCACCAGCATCACCAGTGTCACTGGATGCACCCTTGGGCTCACCAGGGTCTTTGCGGTCACCAGCAGCATCTCCAAGGCTCCCAGTGGCCCCAGTGTCTCGAGGGTCCCCAGCATCTGCGAGGTCCCCAGTGTCACCAGTGTCACCGGACTCCCCAGCAGCCCCAGGGTCACCAGCACCCCCAAGGTCCCCAGAGGCACCAGCAGCCCCAAGATCACCTCCACAGTCCCCAGCACTACCACAGTCCCCTGTGTCACCTCCAGCCCCATGGTCCCCAGGGCTCCCTGGTGGCCCATCCCTGCATGAGCTGGGGGCCAAGCTTTCCTCCTACAATGGCTCCTTGCTGCAGCGCCTGGAAAGCCACCTTCGGGCCACCAACTTCCCCCTCCGGGGCAACCAGACGGTGCCC